TGAACCCCCCCCCCCCCCCATGAGACGATCCTGGCTACGCTACTGTCCCTAGGTCTTGATGTTTGGGGTGGTCCCCTCTTCACATAAGCCCTAATGTGAGGGGTAACGCATCGCAGTGTATCTTTAACACAATTCTTTTTATCTGCATGAGGGACGCTTAGTCTTATCCGCCTCTGTGTTCTTTCAATCATCGGCAAGTGTCTTTGGTTCGTAGAATTCAGTGAGCATAAGACTCTCGTAAATTTTTCTTGAACCCAGTGTGGCATACCAGACAGTCACTTCTCCATAGGTGTAGACCCTTTTGAACTCAGTCTCCTGGCAGTCTATTATTTTGGCCAATTGAGTTTGAAACTCAGCATTTGTAACCGTGGTTAGCCAACGGCCTTGGAGGAATGTAATTTGTACCGAAACAAGCATTTCTGTATTCAATCACTGTCATTAAGATTCATATTAAAAAAACAACACAATATTGTCGCAAATAACACATGAACATTTTAAATATACGGAGCACTATTTACAAACACTTGCTACGGCAACCATTTGAGTGGCGTAGGCAAGGGGGGGGGGGGGTTAGGGGGGGTTATAGCTCCTCCCATAGACTCACACCCCTATATATATATATATATATATATATACATATATATATATATATATATATATATATATATATATATATATATATATATATATATATATATATATATATATATATATATATATGATTTTATACTTATGGAGCAATGTTTGAACCACTCCCATGACCAATTCCTGGCTACGACACTGGACCATCTTGTTCTTATGTAAAACGGTAATAAAGTTTAAAATTCTTGAACAATCCAACTGTTAAAAAACTGACCAGCAATATGCAACGAACATTCGGGGAATTTTGAGTAACGTAATAATACGATGAATATTTTTATTATATAGAAAACGTTAAAAGGAGTTTAAAGTGTTTAGTTTTAATTTACGGTCTATTTATTAGTGCATTAAAAAAGTATGTTTTTAATGTTTGCAAATAATGATAACATATATATATAAGTACAAAAGAAAAATATCAATAAGCAATTTAGAGAGACTCTATTTTAATTACAATCAAAGAAAAGTTGATTTTGGGCGCAATTAATCTTCACTGAAAGATTACTTCCCTTCGCAAAAAAAAAAATACTTATTAAGTATTAAGGATTAGCTTACTAGTTAACTTCCTAATTTATAAAATCCCATGTGCGCACTTCTCTCTCTCTCTCTCTCTCTCTCTCTCTCTCTGTCCGCGACATTTTTAGGTGATTTGATTAGTAGTTTTAGCGATATATGGAGAATTTAAAGATAAAAATAATATGGTGAATGTTATAAATGTATAAATTAAAATTTAGTTAAAGCAGGAAATAAAAATAAGAGCATATTCATATGTAGAAACACACTTTTAACTATGCAGCCGGAAAAGTGTTTATTGTCGTGACAAGAACGCAATTAACAATTGCCGATTTGTACCTAAAAGACTATTTAAGTTTTATTATTAAAGGAACTGGCAAAAAAAGAGCATTTTTCTACTGTACATTTTGCAATTTGTTTGCTTTGGTGTCAACCCCCTAACTTGTGTCACCCGTTGCGGCCCGCACCCCCCCCCCCCCGCCTCTGCCTAACTCAGAAGGGCCGCCCCGACCTTCGCACTGAGCTTAATCTACCACCGTGATGGTAAACACTGCGCCATGTTTAGAATGTAAAAAGCCAATTTGCTACACACGATTTCTGGCGAGCTGATGCAGAGAGGTAATTAACAAAAGAACAACAACATGGATGTGATGCTTCTTTTTTTTCATCTTTTTTCATCAATCAGTTCATGTGTACAATAACTCATCTGCAAAAAAGTTAGATCAGTTACCCAAACCTGTAGTATTGTGTACAGTGTGTGATTTTAGTGTTGGAAGGGATTCTAATTAGGTATACGTGTCAACTTGTTATGCGCCATTGACTCCGATTTCAGATTTGCTTTTCTTTTTGGATTTGCTTCCATAGCAAATGTCCAACCAAGAACAAACTACAAGAACAACCTTCTCCGAGAGGAGTGGCTGTCCCCAGATAACGAGCCTAATCTGCCCGAGGGTTCGAACTCGAGACATTTCGGTTTAGCAACCATGAGCTTTACCGACTCGACCACGCCAACCCCGTGTGTGGTGACCGTCGATTGTTTTAAGAGAGGCTCGGAGACAAAAAGATATCGAAATCTTTGCCTATAACAACTCGAGTCTCTGAAGGATTCTTTATCAAGACCCAGCAGTAAGAAGACATAAGTAACGGTAACTCTGAAAAATTAAAACAGATTGCATTTCTGGGTTATCGTTCATAATGGTTGACTTCGCTTAAACTATTCTATTTTTTTTTTAAAGTAGGCTCTAACAAAAGCAGTTTGATTTTAATTTTCATCGTGTTTACTCATATTTTCCCATAAGTTGTCTTAGTCAATCACCAACGCATTAGGTTTTTGTTATGTACAAGAATTGTAGAATGTTTTATAATTGAATATTTCAAGGGTATAGATGACAAATGCAGTGTCCTTTTTTTTGTGTGAAATTGATGTACATTTATACTTATATTGTAAATAATACAAGCTACAAGAACACTCATGTGGAATGCAAATATTTTATGCATGTTTAAACATATTTAGCACTATTTCAGTATTGAAATGAGATTTAGAAACTCATTTTTCTCAAGATTGTTTTTTTTTGTGGACATACTGCATTTGTCCTCTATACCCTTGAATTATGTAGATAGAATGTTTTATAGTAGATACATACACATGTGTATATTATTTGAAGCCAATTTAGAAATTCTGTGCCCAGATTAAGATTGTTATACACAGAGGCCATTTAAATAAAAGTAAGAGGGTATAGAATGCAGCCTTACCCAGGATAATACAACTGCTTGACAAATTTTTAAGCAAAAACAAAGTTTATTTAATGGGTTTGTCAAAAAGTGCCTACAGATTGAGTTATTTTAATATGCTTCCCGTAAAACCCAAAACAACTTACAAACTGAAATAAGTGGTACACAGAAAACCCTGGAGAGATGCCAATTTTCTTAACTTGTAATTCATTTTCAACATATTACATATAACTTTATTTTGATATCTTTCTATACAGCAGCAAATTGCAAAGATTACCTTATTCCCAAATAAAGTTATTTGCATTACCTATTATCATGGTATTGTTTTCAATTATAAATTAAAGGGCCTTTGCTGAAATATGGCAACATTACACATGAAAACACAAAACTCAACTAGAGATGATAAAAACCTATGTTTACTGGTATGTTTAGCATCTATAAAATTTTATGTATACACAACAACATGAATGAATTAAATAACATTAAAAGCTTATCATAATATAACAATGACACCAGTCAGCATCAATGAACTTGGTCTAGTATCACCATACAATTGCATCTTTTATCATCAGGCAAGGTAGGTTTACACATACAATAAACTTTCTTCCACATGGATGGATAAACTAATTCTCTACAGCCAAGAAATTTTGGTTCAGATTTCAAGACCACTGATCATTCAGACCTTTCACATGGATGGACAAACTAATTCTCTGCAGCCAAGAAATTTTGGTTCAGATTGCAAGACCACCGATCATTCAAACTTTTCACATGGATTGATAAACTAATTATCTACAGCCAAGAAATTTAGGTTCAGATTTCAAGACCACCTATCATTCAAACTTTTCACATGGATGGATGAACTAATTCTCAATAGCCAAGAGTATCATCAGACCATGATCATTCAAATCTTTCACATGGACGGATGAACTAAATTCTCTACAGCCAAGAGTATCATCAAACCACTGATCATACTCAAACACAACACCGATGCTTGTAACTAGCACAACAAATAAATATGGCAGTGCATTTCACATTTGTCTAGTTGAGCAATACGTTAAGTACACTTGATTTAATTATTTAAAAAATATTAGCACATAGCAAATCATGATTTCATTTTGTCAAATTCAACAGTACTGCAAATCACAAGTAGAGTTCATGCTGTGACCTGTAATGTTTTATGACTTAAGTCAGATACCCACTACACCAGTGTGGACAAACAGACCAGTGACTGTGTACTAAGAGATCACACTGTTCTATACATAAATAAAGTACCACACAGACAATCTATTTCATTATACTCAAATGTTACTTTTGTATATAAATATTCTCTTTATAAATGTAAAACAAGCTTGATTAAGTGAAGTTAGTGAGGCAAGTTTTAAGAAACATTCACAATAAAAGTACACATGACATCATATTCAATATTTCACTGAAGGTTTCTGTTATAGATTGAGACACGAATACACCTACAAGTGTACTAAGCCAAAAATATATAAAAAAAAAATTTTAAAATTGAGAGTAAAACAATTTTTCTTAGATATTTAAATTACAAACAACAATGTCAATTTAACTAACTAGAATATGTATTGTACTTTTCTTACAAAGACTTAATTCTTAAATTGTTTTTTAAAACACTAATGTTTCTAAAAAACATTTTAAATACTGTAACTACTTTGAAGATAAATCTAGACCAAAGGAACCTATCACTGTTTTATATGGACATGAAATTTATCAAACTAAATTACTGTCTCAACCTGGAAGTTGATTTTAATTAATACAAAAAAATGGCACTTAGCTAATTAGAATTTTTGATTAAATATATATAAAACATAATTAGAAAAATATTCTAATACTCTCATGCCTTTCATAAATCAGAATGTATGTACAATTTTTCAACAGCCAAACTGGTACATAACAGGCAATTTTTATAGTAAAAATGCATCTCTATAAAACTGAAAGACGTACCTAAATATTTTAAATGGCATTGCGTTTTCTTATTCTAGAGTATATATATATATATATATATATATATATATATATATATATATATATATATATATATATATATATATAACACTCATGATAATAACACTCAACCTAACACTAAACCTAACTCAGTACTATGATAGCGCACTAAAGTTGTTCTGTGCAAAGCTGGTTTCTTTATACCCTTTGATGACAAGTGGACTTTGATACCAGAGAAGGTCTTTATCAGCAGCCGGGCCTGGGAGTGAAGGGGAGTTAGCTCCCATATTCAGCACAGGACTGGCTGTCATCAGGTTCAGTATTGTTTTGCCATGATTGATGTGAGATTGTAACGGGGACCAGTGAAGGAAGCCGTTGCCGTTTTTCTTCTTCCGGTGGCTGTAAATGTAATTCAGTCTTTGGTGAGCGCAGAACCTGGGCATGTTAACGCACGGCGACGCCCCCACGGATATATCCTGCGTTGGCGAGGCCTCGGAGGATACATCCATCTCCAGGGAGCAGTGCTTCTTAAGCAGCGAAGCAACTGTGAAGTCTTTGTCCTCAATGCAGCTCGCCTCCGATCCTTCCTCCGATTTCTTGCCGGGTGCCATCTCGTTTTTATTTTCCTTCTCGCAGAGAGAACATTCCAGCAACTCGATGCCAGAGATGTCCACTTCTCCCTCCACAAAAGTCAAATCGTGACATATGGGCACCAAATATTTGCAGTGGAAGTTGAAGGACATGACTTGCCCACTCTTGGGGGAGGAGAAAGACTGTCGGGGTAAGAACCACTGGAGAGGGCATGACCTAGGGGCAGAAACTAAAAGCATCATATTTGTGGGAGAAAGAGTGCTGGACAGACAACCAAGTATGTCTTCACCAATTATCTGGGGATAAAAAAAAATAACAATTAATAGAATTTAAGGGGAGACAACACAATTTTTCCCAGCTAGTTAAAGGATATTTATTGAATCAAATTTTTTTTCCATAAAATTTATAAATTTATTTGTAGCACTTATTTCACTGTATAAAGCTTCTTGACTGCACTTTTTAAAAGAAAATCAATGTAAAACAAAATACAATACCCAGCGCATTAGGGCTTTAAATTTTGAAGTTTGTGTAAAATTGCCAAACTTAGAAAATGCTAAAAGATGGATGGAGAAGAAGACTGAGACACCTCTCACAGAAAACAATATAAGATACATAGCTCTATATGCAAGAGCCATTTTAATAATAAAGTACATGTATATTTTAAATACCATTTTTTTAGTTGTCTGTCAGTTAAGCTGCCTTCATGTATACAAAGGTAAAGATTAAATCTCATGTTATTCTCAGAATAGTGATAAACACACCAATTTGAATTTTAGTTGAATGCTAGCCTATCAGTTGACATAAATCTGTTAGCCTAGAATACCACCCCCCCTCAGATCTAAGCAAACTACATAGTACTAGTCCCAGGCTGACATATTGACAAACTGAGACAGTAATGTACATGATAATTCACAGAAAAAGTAACTTATTGGGCAATGTTTTTTTGAAAATGACTGTTTAACTTTGAGAGAGATATTTGTATTCAGGACATAATATGATAACGGGAGAATTTCAGTAGTTTTAATGTTTTATTTTAAAATAAGATTCAAGAGGTTTTCTAGGAGCTGCTGAAATTATAGGAAAGGAGAAAAATCCTTGTGTAAAGTAATAAGAAAATCAATATAGAACTAATAACTCAATACAAACTGCTAAATAGTTTTATTAGTTGGTTAATAAATTGTCTTACCTGTCGGAACAGGGTCTGTTTGCAGGTCAGCAAGGGTAGACAATCAGCATCTGGACAAGGCGGTGGGAAGTTTATAAGAAATGATTCTTTAGGGCTAAACAGTGTTCCACCTAGAATGATAACCACCTGTTGACGTATAACAAAAACAATTTTTAAGTGTGTAAAATCATATAAAAAACTTCTCAACATTCAGATACCGTGGCCTTTAAAAAAATTGTGTTTTCATTGGCGAGCTAAGTCCAAAATTGTGTCATTTTTTTTTCTAGCCTGTAAGTTCTAACCCCACTATTATGTACTGTTTTGAAATCGACTTGCTTGCATCAATTGAAAGACCTACCCTTTAAAAATTAAACAATTTAGTTCAATTACCCAAAAAATACATTTCTTTTAAAAAATGAAATAAAAGGGTAGACAACTTTACCTGCTCTATCTCTGGGCAGAGTTCAAATGCTTTTTTTAAGTTTTCAAATATCAATGTGAGATCACTGATAAGACATTTGGCTTTGCGCTCTGACTGGTTCTTGGTGAACGTACCTTGGTGGGTTTTGTGCTCCTGAGATAATGAAAAACAAATGTTTTTGTGCATGAATGAGCATAATTACATAATCCTTACCTTGCAAACATTGCAATATGATACATAACTATAAACTAAACAGTTGCAATGATTAATGATGGGGAAAGATCTCTAAATTAAAAAAGGTAAAAAAAATTTATGACATTATTTTACTGAAATAGTTCAACTCAAAAATAAGCGAGACAGCCCACTAATTTTCATAACCCTTTACCTCTCCCAACCACATACTCACAATTTAAAAATGTATCACAGCTCTAGGCCTGCTAAAAACTTAATATATTAGCATTATTAACAAACCTAGAGACTGCAAAATCATATGGTAATAAACTATAAAAAACCTATCATTATTAAAAATAATGTCAATAGAATAACCAATTTATTTTTAGGTCAATATAAAATTGTTTTGTAAGTAAAATATTGTTCGCTTTATTGATTCATAAACATATTTTTTTCCAATCTGTCCCCAAGACACATAGGGCAGATGAAGTAGAGTTCATTTGTTTTAAAGGCATCATACAGGTGGATAGTGAGTTAAGTACCCATCAGAGCTGGGTGGACTCTACTCATAGTATCCGCCGTCACCCCTATCAAACGCGCGCTTTCAACGTGTTTTGGTTGGCGACCCGTAAACACAGCGTTTTTGGAGCTAAAAAGGGCCGAAAAAGCCATTTTTTCTACATGTAGTTCGGATTTTTTTTACATTTTTAAAATGGGCCCGAAAATTACCCTTTTTAGAAATGGACATTTCGAAGAATTAGTTTAAAAAAGGGCTTTTTTGAGCTATGTTTCAATGTAAACAAAGGCCCATGTCAACACGTGTCAAACCACGTGAGAGCACCCGATCGACGATTTCGGTCACGCATGAGTGGTTTTCGTAAGTTCTGGTGAACTAAAAAATATCAGTTTCTTGACAACAAATTGGAAAACGACAATTTCGTGAAAATAACAACCCTAGAGGAATGGCTTTTTAAGATTATTAAATAATTATCGATGTATTGGCTACATGTGTTGATTCTAAAGTTGTCTATAATTGACTAGTAGGGCATGCTGAAACAACGGCCTTAGGGCGCCGTGTAGTGTGTAGTTTGGCTAAATGTAAATTAATCATCCGGACCGCAGATCGACTGCAAACTGTTAAATTGGTTGAATGTGAAAAGCATACTACTTACAAATTACTTTTGAATATTCACATCACACAAAATAATCCCAAAGAAAGCACAAAATAAAATCCTTTAGAAAAGCATCACCATGAAATTTGAAAACCAGTTTGTCAACCAGCCATCTTTGGCTCGATCTAGAGGTCATTCTTTAGCCTACACATGTGTCTTGTCAACAAATTTAGTTTCTGACGGTACACAACATTTAGATCAATATATTAATTAACAAACTAACTGAATTCCAACATTCTATCACTCTTATCCTAAAATGAAACAGAATTTGAAGCACAATGATCTAACGAATAAATCCCACTCTAAGTAGGTGTCGCAGCTTTAATCCTGGATACAACCGTAGTGTGTAGTCGTGTTGTGAGTAAACTTGCAAGAGATAAAACACCGACCAAGACCTTTCTGATGTTGTGTATGGCCCCAAAGTTAAATGCTGGGAGTAGGGGAGGGGAATTTAACACCAGAATAGTTAGATCATCAGTAGTTCACGCATACAAAGGGGGTTGAAAGTGTAACTTTATATTCAACTGGGCAAAAGGTGGAGGGTGGGGTAATTTAAACGACGGAGATATATTTCTAGTCGAAGAATACGGGGAAGTCTGCATTTCATTATTGTCATTGCTATTGAGTACAACCCTTTATTCTAGTTTAATGCACGACTAGGCTACTCATTACGAAATCTAAAAAATGTCGTTGTGCTACCACGCAAAAGTAGCCTAATATTTCTACTGAATGGGGTAGGTATTTGACTTTGTTTATTTAAATGCAGATCCCATTAGCCTAAAAATATTTGGATACACATTTTAGTTATATCATTAAGGATCAATTTTATAATACAATGCATATATTCTGGCAGTCCTTCAAGTATTAGTAGTTATTGGACTATCCATAACTCATAACTTGTATTTCAAAATGAGCAGGATGCACTCGATGTTTTAAGTGCTACATTCGGTAGCTGTTACTTTGTGCATAACAGCATCCCAATAGTTCACTGTTAATAATGCAAACTGAGCTTGACGAGACTCCAATCGCCAAGCAATCGTATGATAGACCCAGCAAGCATCACTCGTTAAATTCGACATCATGGCTATACCAGTCCCCCCTCCCCGCTTGCGCCGACAACGTCATCATAGGCCAATACCACGAGTATAACACAAACCCCTCTCCCCCTCACAGCAAGGGCCAATGTCACCCAAGGCCAATAACACGCACCACCGTGGATTTTTTTTTTCCAATGAGTATATACCCTACCCATCCGCCGCCTGACAGCATACTGCTAGTCTTTACAAACGGGGTTAAAAGTTTAACTTTTAGTTCAAGAAGGGGAGAGGGTGGTATTGAAACAACGATGTTCTTAAATATGTTTAATAGTTAGGCCTAGTACAAATACATAGTAAAAAAATTATACTTACCTACTTCTAATTCTATAGCATCATACATAATTTTATAAATTAGCAAATTAGTAAACTAATTAATTAATTAATTAAATTTAATGATAATGAAAATGAAGGGAGATAGTTTTTTTTGTTAAGGCACGCTAGCTAGGCCAATGCAAAAATTTAATTTCAGTAAAACAATATAATAGTTACATATTTGGATAGGGGCTGTCAATCTGATTACAGATCAGTTTGAATTTTCAAAATCTGACCATAAACAAAAAAGTTATGAATTTTTTTGTCATTAAAAAACAGCAGTTTTTTCAGACAACCGGGGTAGACCCTGAAAGAGGAAAAATACTGGGAGGGTATGGACCAAATTTTTAAGAGTTTTTCACTAAAAGTTGTATAAAAGCAAGCAGACTTCACCAATTGATGTCATTTTATGATATTTTGTAGTTTTTTGTATGCCGAATCCAATGATGCTATTTTAAAAAGTGTCTTTTGATTACATAACAGACTTATATCATGGATTATGTAATACCCCCCATTCTTTTTTTTTTACAACATCTGATAATCCGTGTGATAAGAAGTCATTCTTTAAATTAAACAGTGTTTTAAACCATAATATGACATTTGTATATGCTGAAGCTAATGGTGATATTTTAATTGGTCGAACATTATTACAAAACTATAAAGGTCAGGTTATGTAATTCGCACCTTTTGCTCATAATTTACCGTGTATTTATTTTAAAATCTCTTTGCTCATTGTCAGTTAACTTAAGTGAATAGCCTACTTAAAGAAAAGATAACTAATACAGTTTTAATACAAAGAGAAGGATGCTATAACAATAGTATATTTGTGATGATGTAACTTCTTAAAATATGTTATGTAATCTATGTGCAATCGTACAGGCCTACTCTATTCCAAAAATATAGGCATATCTTATTATATTTATATTTCTTGTTACTTTAAATGTCATACCATTGATACAACTTTCTTCTATAGAATTAGCCTAGTTACAAATGTGTCTTATCAGAATCAGTGTGCTTTATGACAATTTTGTAATATTTTTAAACACAAAAAAATTGCTCATTATTACTATTTTAATAACATAAACATTGGAAGAAAATTGTTTTTTTTTTAGCTTGTACAAGGTAGTGTAAGTTATAGGTCTATAACATAGATTTATTATATATGCTCAATGTTTATGCTAGTAGTAAGCTTGTGTATTTTGTAGGACTACCATAGGCCTATTACATTGGGGAAAAAAGCACGTGTTTGAGTGCTTGACTGTGTGTAGTAGATGCTAGGCATTTTTTAAGTTTCCGGAGGCGTTTATCACCATTTGCCTAGATTTAGTTCAATCAGACGTGGTTAACCAGGTTTTCTGACCAACGAATTTTATTGCCGTATTACGTAAACACGAGGCTAGATAGGCTAGTCGGCCAACCCGATGAACGTGTCAGACGAATATTATGTAATTTTAGAGACAAAAGTCTGGGAAGATTTCCTGATCTATGCCCGAGGGTTAGTAACATCAACTCCACAAAGTGAAGGGGGAGGGAGGTGGGGTATGAAACCACCGCGAGCCACTCGGGTACCGTACGGGTGTTATACAACATCAAAGGCGCCGTCACTCGGCTTGTCGCGTCACGGAGTAGTGGGGGCGGGTTGAGGCTATGGATGTTACTTACGGTGTTACATACCGTGTAGGATGGTCAGTGACTCCCCATACCCATCCCATTTTGGTCGATTTGGCAAGCTAGTAACCTCCACGTTGTTAAGGGTTTTAAAATTTTTTAGTCAACCGAAAAAAAAGAGCCCGGGGTAAAATTTAATTTATTTTTTAAAGCCATTTTTACGAAAAAGTAATGTACACAATAATGAAACGTTACGGCACGCGAATCACGTCAGCATTGTTTGGTCGGGTCGCAGCTATCCGGATTAATTTCTAAAGAAGATTAATTTTGACGAATAGTAAATACTATTACGACTTTTTTTTTGCCGTTTCAATGGTTTAAAACAAAGTTATGAAACATGCCTGTCTACTTAAATATAAAATAGCAATACCCGACGAGTCAAATACGGGAACACACGTATCTATCTTTAGAAATTGTTTATAGTCTCATCCAATCGGATCAACCGCCTAGCGTCACGTGACCACACACTCGGCTGTGCTACACGATGTGTAGATCTCGATTCAGTCGGACGGCGGCCAACGCGTTAATTTTTATTTTCGTTCCGTCTTAAAATGTATGGACGGCTTTATTATGAGGTGTTATAATACATGTCATACATTAAAATAATCGGTGGGATTTCAGGAATACAGCTCAAGGTTCAAATGTAAAATAGGTCAAATAATAGACCGGGAAACTTAGTTCAACTTTGCGGTCCGATATCTCCCGAAGTATTTAACTTATTTTGACCACGAACCTTGAGCGTTGTACGTCTACATTTAATCTGTTCGTCTGCCAAATTTGATTGTTGTAGTACGTAAACTCGATACGTCTATAAAAAAAATTGTAGCGCGTCATATTTAAAACACAGCGATTCGAAGCACAGCCGAGCGGTTCAGTCGGACAACGGTCGGCGCGTCATGTTTTGATTTTCGGTCCACTTCAAAGTCTATAGACGTCCTTATTATAGGGCCTAATATGACATATCATACATATTAATAAACGTCGAGATTTCAGGAATACAGCTCAAGGTTCAAATTAAAAATCGGTTCATTAATAGCCCAAATAACTTAGTTCAACTTTGCCGTTCGATATCTCCAAAAGTATTTAACATATTTCCCCCAAGAACCTTGAGCGTTATACGTGAACATTTAATCTATTTTTCTACCAAGTTTCACTGTTGTAGTACGAAAACTCAAAGAGTCTATAGACTCTAAGTAACACCCCTCTTTTAAAAAGGTGAAAAAGCCTCCCCCCTAATCGGCACGTCGCCGCGGGGGGTAAAAAATGCGATTAAATCGGCGATTTCTTCAACGTCTGAAATAATAAAGAAATCAAACTTATACAGTTAAAAAGGTTGTTCAATTACGAACAGAATGATGTATAACATGTTAAAATAAACACAATAAAAGCATGCATAAAACAAAGTTAAACATGCAGGGGGTAGGGAAAAGCCGATTTGTCCGATTTTCTCGGCAGCGGCATTGGCCTAGCTAAGGCACGCACACAGCACTATGCGTGCGTGGTATGTGGCCTGACCGAAAAGAGATTGTTTATATTTATATTATTGTTTTGAGTTTATATTTAACTCAATGCAACGAGCCCGCCGGTTGGTTGAGGCCACGGCTGGGGGACGATCTGTCTGGGATTCAAAGGATCGATTCTAAATATCGTCCACTAGGCCAATATATTCATAGCCTAATCTATGCTACTTAACTAGAAATTTAAATTAGTTAGGCCTACATAAATTATTCAATTTATTACTTTGGTGACTAAACTTTAGGTTATCATTGTTAGACTCAATCATCAACCTAGATCTAGATCTAGATCTACCTTTTTTTCTTGTGCAGTTGTGCTTGTAGAACACGTCTGATTGACAGGCCTTAATATTTGTGATTTAAGTTGTTCCAAAGGTAAAGGTATCTGCTGCCTTTCATATAACAAGTAATTAATTAATTCTATTACAAGGGATGCCCTTGTACTTGATAATAAGGCTCCATCGAAAACGATATCGAATGAATGTTTTTTCGAGTTACTCGAAACACCCGCCATGTTGATTTTCTTCAAATGGAAATTACTTTATGTCACTGAAAGTGATTTCCGTATTTTGAAATCTTGGTCACTGTATTTGTAAGTACCTTCATAAAAAGTATCCCACCAGTTTATGCATTAGAAGTAAAATTTAAAGAAATAAAAAGTTCTTAAATCTAACTTCACTGAGTTCAATTAAAACTTTTCAAACAGTTTAAACACACGTGCAATTTTATAAGAAAATTGTCTTATGAATCTAAGGAAAACGAAATGTAATACGAAATCTGATACAATTTGGCATTTAAAACCCGACTGAAAGTTCCACAACGAGAAAAATCCTACGAGAAGTGTTCAGAAAATGATAGGAGTAATGTACACTTTGAGAATGTAAATAATTATAAGATGTATGCCTTGATTTATTTATATTTCTAATCCTTTCTAGCCCACATCAATGTCCCTCAAAGATAAACATTCTATTGTGCTCGACATCGATTGAAGTTGGATCAAGGGAACGCGCTATAAATAAATGTGAATGAAAGCGCCCTATTTAATACACCTGTGGTATAGGCCTAATGATTAAATGACCTGAGGCGTACAGGTGGTTGGATTCGACACCTTGACTACAAAAGGCTGTGGCGTTTGAAGTTAAGATTACTTGTTACTTATGGCGATTTGCTCGAAATCATTTTTGTAAGGTTGATGTGTGATTATACTCCATTCTTTGGATATGATTTCCTTTTGTGTATGGCCTCTCTGGTTTAATGAATAGCTTTATTGGTTAACAAAATAAATAATGAATCGTAATCATATGTACTATTTATATTGAACTTCACCAACAAAATATAATCGACCATTATTTGTAGATTATTTTCACAGTTTGCTGCATCTTAAAAAATACACTTAAACGGTTTTTTTCCCAAACAACAATCAGCTGTCCATCTATCATCAGCCCCAGCCAGGGAAGGGGGGGGGGGCAGAACCCCAGGAGAGATGCCAGTAGTTTAAACCCTAAATCTCTAGCCCCGACTGTCCTGTCTTTCTCAATGCTGTCCTCTGTCTTGTCCTCGGTGTTTTTTTTCAGACGGGTGTAGGACAAAAGCCGACATCAAAAATGCCGACAGGACAAAAGGTTTACACCGACAAAGGCTGACATAAAAAAGGCCGACTGACCATACGGAAGACAAACCATATGGCCATATGTTCAGTCGGCATTTTAGGTGTCGGCTTTACATGTCCATGTCGGCCTTATTGATGTCGGCTTTTAGATATAGGTCTAATGTCTATGTCGGCTTTTTGTCCAAACCCTCTTGCAGGCATTTTACTCTGGGGTGGGTGGGGGGGGGGTGTCGGACTTTGATAATAGTAGACCTGTATACTTTCTAATATATAAATATTTTTTTCTCTTTCGTCGGGGGGGGGGGGGTGTGCTCCGGGGACCAACCGGTGCCCACCCCCCACTCCCCCGATTAGATGCCTGAAAGAAACTCTGCCGGTCTTGCTGTGTCCAACTGTCTTTTTCCAATATACGCTGTAGGCTTGAAGTTTATTTCATTAGTTCGCATTATAAATAAGATGCATAATTGCTAAATTTTAGTTTCTACTTCTTTTTCAATTCGCCTACAATAAAACATTAGTGACTGAAGCTTGTATTTATTATTTATTGACTAGTTAGAATATTTGAATCATGAAGTAATTGTGTATACCGTTTATTGTACAAACAATACAATTTGTCGTGCTAATGATACTAGTCTTGAAAAAAATGGGTTTTAGAAATATTATTATTTTTTGTGTTATTGAGTTTTTGCTGCTAGATTAGTCTTTGATTTGGAGTTGGGATTTAAAATCTGAAACTTGATAAACAAATTGACGGTTCACCGGATTTTCCTGTTGTCACGGTCTTCTGTTGTCAGTTTATCTAACTTATTTCAATATTTCTGATAATAATCCTGTAAAGTAGTGTATAATTATTAATTTAATGTTAAATGAATATAGATCTTCGTTAAATTGTTTATTCTGAAATGGCTGAAAGTCAAGAGGTAATTATTTGAACTGATTTGTTTTTGTGTTAAAATTCAAAATCAGATTACTGAGATTAGAGACATCTTTCTTTTCTGTTCCGAGTTCTGACTCAACTCACTCAGGAATACCAGTCAAGACTAGAGTGACTAGAGTCTAGAGTCAAGAGTGTGGGTAAAACTCCATTTTAGCGTATTTTATTCCCCCGCTTCACGTTCACCTCCAGTTGAGCGTACGTATTTTATTATAAACACAACCAAAACACACAAAAACGTTAGGAAAACACTAGTAGATCTACTTATTTTTTATGAATGTGATTTTTAATTTAATAATTATTAATTATTAATTAGAAAATGTTAAAAAAAAAGCATTAGATCTAGATCTAGATTCTAGAACTGTTCCAATTAAATATCATGTGATCGTCAGCGGGAGAAAAATCCTTACACGGTCGAGGGTTCACCGTGAGTTCACATTGACTTTAATTATCAGCATAGCTAGGACAATAGCTGTTTGAAATTGTGTTGGCCTCAGTTTTGGGGTCATTGCAAGTTCATAAAGGTTTATTTATGGTATCATGCCTGGGAGATACTTGTAACTCGTAACAATACAAACTTAACCACCTTGCAATTGTCACATTGTGAGTATGTATTTCACCCATTGCCATGAAAATTCTGACACACGAACATAGATCTAGCACATTCAATATTCTAAATTTGGATTTTTCTCAAGTTTTGACAACAGTTAATTATCAAAATCTAAAACAAAGTCAGTCTCTTTGTTTGTTTTTTTTTTATTCATTTTTACTTTCTTGTATATAGTATACGAAGTATAGAGAAAGTATTGTAATCGTGCAAAAAAATCTCTTGAAATTTTAACAATTTTCACCGTATTACACCTCAGTCCTTCATCACATCCGAAGTATAGAGGACTTATTTTAATCGGGCAAAAATTATCAATCCAGATTTATCAAAATTAAGAGGTTTTATGCGTAATCCATTCTGAAAAACTGGGCTTTGCAATCCTGTCCCTATGTCTGTGTGTCTGTCTGTCTGTCCGTGTGTAAACACGATAACTTGAGTACCGTTACAGCTAGGTTGATGAAATTTCATATATAAGTATTTTATCAAAATCGTAGATCCGTATCAACTTTTGAGCGATTTCCGATAACCGGAAGTGGTACTTTTTCTACTTTGAATTTTTTAAAAGCCTATAACTTGAGTACTATTTCAGATAGATAAATAAAATTTCACATGTGTGTAAAAGATCTAATTTTCTACCTTCTATTAAATTTTGAGTAATTTCCGATGACCGGAAGTAGTAATTTACGCTACTTCCGATTTCTCAAAAAACTAATGTAAATTTTTAAAGTACTAATAGTATTGCGCACTATTATGCACTTTTTTATTTAGCGTTCACTTGGAGTGCAACTCTTTTGTCTACGAGACTTTATTCTATTTTTAAAACTTTAAGTATTTAAAATGGATTAAAAATCATGTCTATAGCCCGAGTTCCCATCCCCTGTTGTTTTATATAAGAATATTCGAGAAAGTTTAGGGGAGATCACTCCCGGTTTATTATTCATTTGTTAAAACAAAAATACAATACAAATAAATAAATCTTGTTTTCCTTATGTTTTGGTGTGTTTCGGTTATTATAATAAAATACGCTCAACTGGAGGTAAACAAGCAACGGAGAATAAAATATGCTAAAATGGAGTTTTATCAAGAGTGTGTGTAAAGTCGTAGAATAGTATATCCTCTAGTGTATTTTATACAGTGTACTGTGTATAGCAATAACAGTACACTCAACAGTGTAGTGTAACACAGTGAAGTGACACACCTCTAAATATAATTTAATTCAACAGACTCTTACTCAAGTTCTATAGAATCTAGACTAGTACTAGATCTAGTAGTAGTCAGTCTCAGTCTCTAGTCTTTGCTCTAATCTTGAATCTAGCATTCTAGCTAGACCAAGCAAGAGTCTGTAGTATTCTGTAACTGTATTCTTTGACTACTAATACCATGAGTCTTATACCTGTATTCTTTGACTACTAATACCATGAGTCTTATCCATGGGTTAAACTCGGTTACAGCTTTTGAATTGCAATTACAGCTCTCTGAATTTACTTTAGGCCTAACCTCTTTCTTTGATTCTCTAGAGTCTAGAGTAAAGAGTAGTATATTTATACTCCAGATTAGTCTAGAAAAGATTTCTATTCTCTAGACTCTAACTAGTATGGGCCTAATTAGATTAATTATTAATTTTCATAAAATGAATAGGCTTAATGGTTTGGGTACAAAAATAATTTAAAATTCCAATGATTTATAATGAAAATAGGGATCTGCATGGTCAAGTCAGTAAATCTCACAGTTTCTTAACCAAACAGCCCTTAGTTTAAACCTTCTGTTAGATAAGGCTCAGTAGCTGGGGACAGCAACCCATCTAGTAGAGATAACTCCAAAATCAAACAAATGCATTCTATATGGCTCATAACATGTTGACACATAATGTTTAGTTGTGTTGGGTCAGCTGATTGGATGTCCTCCACAGCGGGCCAGGAGCAGGCCTGCTATGTGAATCAACTGTCAAGTGCCATGAGCACTATGGTGTCTACATTAATTTTTTAGTGTGCCCCAACACAAGGGATAGAGTGGGCTACTAGACTTCATGACTAAATCAAACAAAGGGTGGCACCCCTTTGTAACTGACTTCTTATCCTTAATGGTAGGAAGTTGTTGAGTACACTCTCTGCGAAGATTTCTAGCATAACATTTTAAAAAATATCTGAGCACTGACGTCCTGGCCGTTAGTATGCAAGAAATGTAGTGCAGACATTTTGTTGACATTTAAATAACAAGTTCAAGAAAACACATGATTGGTTATACACTGAGGCCTGTAAAGCTAAATTTGGAAAGTCAATGCTTCTCACATCTACAACTGTTTGTGGCTTCCTCACATTTTGGTAAACCTTCTGATTGATTCATGTAGCAGGCATAATAACAAAACATATTGTATATCTACATGCTATAATAAAAATTAGAATTAATCTGACGTGTTTCCCATGTTAAGTAATAATAAGTTTCAACAAAAAGGACACACTGTAAATTGAATTTTATCACGAAGAGTGTCCTTGAATTTTCTTTCTTCTGAGATTTTAGCAACATGCAATGGGTAAGCTAGTAAATATATATATATATATATATATATATATATATATATATATATATATATATATATATATATATATATATATATATATATATATATATACATATGTATATATATATATGTATATATATATATATGTATATATATATATGTATATATATATGTATATATATATATATATATATAGTTTACCCTAATTCCCCAATCTAACGCTATCTCTAACTAAGGCATTAACAGCTAGCCCTATGTTCCAAGATGAACCTTGACGTATCATTCAGCCATAATCAGTATTTCAATAAGAGCCAAACAAATATTTTTCAGTTTATATTTTATTTTTTGTATTTTCTAAACAATAGAAGTTAAATAATTCTTGTACATTAAACTAAGAAAATCTATAATAAAATAATGTTGAAAATAAGTGTATGATTATTAATTACTTTAAAATAAAATAAATTAAAGAAAGAAAATGAGGAAATATTAACTTATTTGCCTTTTTAGGAGCTTTAGGCATACTTCTAAAGGTATATACATACAACATTTTGAAGAAATAATTTTTTGTGTAATATTAATGTGTTAAAAATAATTTATAAACAGAATTAATACTCAGATTTTCACTCACTAGATCCTTAACATTTTGGGGGAAAATTATTTAAAAAAAAAAATTTCTTTTGCAAAATGTATTTAAATGTATAAAACTCATTCAGATCCGAGTCTGTTACCACAAAGAAATTTGAAATCGTATTCAACACAACTAATGTAAATGCAATGACCACGCAAAAATAGCTTTTCACTGTGAGGTTTTTGACTGATTTGAATTGAACACTCCATACTAATAGAATAATGCCAAAGATTTGTTGCAAGTCGGTAAGTGATTGTATCGAGGGCAGTTGTATACATTTTTTTAATAAAAAAAAATCCAAGATATATTTGTGGGTTTTCAGGTGATGGAATTACTATACCTATTTTGTTATTATTCTGTATTTTGTTTTTTGTAATCTTTATCATTTACCTTGTTTCTTTTAGACAATTTTTTTTTCCCCATTTCAACCATATTTTTTCATTTCATCAATACGGTTAATATGGCTGTTGTAGCTAATTAAAATAATTTTGTGTTTAAATTTTGCAATTGAAGAAAGATAGGTACATTTATATTACTTTTTATATTACTTTTTTTTTAACTAAAAAAATCAATGTTGAGTTAATTGTATTGAATATTGGCAGAATACTGGGCAGTAATATGCTAAACGAAAATTTATTTCCTATATTAGCCTTTAAGATAGTTATTATAGTATTTAGCAGGGTGTTAGCATTACAGTTTGAAATGGTTATTTCTATTATATTTAAGACTTCTGTAGAAAACATTAATTCATTTTTAATGAAGATAAAAACAACAATACACACAAATAAATATGGTTCTCTATTTTGTTGTAGACATATTGCCCCGCAGTTATGAGTTTTTTTTATACGTTCTGCCTATCGCATCAGTTTGAAAATGTCCTGTGGTAGCTTAAGGTAACTTAAATAATAAACATTTTATTTTCAGAAAAAACAAAAACGGAAGAAGGACATCCATGGCACCCAGTTGGAAGCTGGAAGCAATGAGTTAATTCGTGTAGGGAGTAATATTGAAGATGGTATGTCACTGCAGTTCCATTGTTAATTTTTGATAATTTTTACTGCTAGACTTTATGAAAATATGGATTTTGGTTAGGAATTGTTCAACAGTAACAGAACAGGGTTGGTGGAGATTTATCATTTATTTATATTGTGTTCCATATGGTGGGTTGATGGTATATGTTCTACAGCCTTCTTCTTCTTCTTCTTCGTTCTTAATTATTAGTCTTGAAGGGGATCGAGATTTATCTGCCAGTGGGTTTGAACTCGAGACTTTGTTCGAATTTATCAACCATGAGCTTTTTGCCGACTCGACCACGCCTCCAACACAATTAAGCGTTACGTGTCAACTGGTTATGCGCCATTGAGGCCATTGACTCCGATTTCAGCCTGCTTTTCTTTTTGGATTTGCTTCCATAGCCTTTGTCCAACCAAGAACAATCTACAAGGCAGCAGTTGTTTAATTTTGGAGTTGTCTCTCCTAGAAGAGTGGCTGTCCCCAGCTAACGAGCCTCATCTGCCCGAGGGTTCGAACTCGAGACTTTTCGGTTTAGCAACCATGAACTTTACCGACTCGACCACGCCGACCCCTCTACAGCCTTTGATTTTCTTTATTCTTAATTATACAACACTTTTATTATTACATTTATTACAGAAAACATTTATGTTGTTTTCTTGTTATTTTTAGTGCAATTATATGCGTGTTATAAAGTTTTTTATACTTATTTTATTTATAAAGGCATAGAGTAACTAAATTGTGTAGTTTTTAAATATACTACAATCTATAAGAAGAAAAAATGAAAAAAAAACAAAACAACAACACATACGTATAGTTATTTTTGTTCTTGTGAAATCTTATTTGTGTATATTTTACATGTGTTCTATTAAATATGTTACTTTTTTTTCCTTCTCTGTCTCTAGTTATGGACTTGGTGGTGTTCTTAAAAGACAGAACTGGAGTACATTTTACACTTGAGGATGCACCCCAGTCCAAATGTGAAAACCTCATAGATCTTGTTATAAACGAACAGGGCCTACCACCTGAAGCCTCTGATATTTTTAGCTTATGGCTTGTCTCACCCATAATAGGTATTTAACCTCTCTGTGTTGTCTAATTTTAAAACAAAATTGCTTGCACATCATAACTTTTATTTAATCTATCCTATGGGATTTTAGAAAAGTTGTGTAGTAAACATTTAGAATAACTGAAATTCCCTGTACTAGGTTCTGTTTCCAGAATGGAGTAATGTACCATTTTTACATAGTGAAAATATAAAGTAAAGCAATTCATTAGTAGAGCTCATCTGGTTTATGTGACTTCAGAAGATGAAAAAACTCAAGGTTGGAACAGTTCCAAGCCATTTTAGCTTTCTTTGACTTAGATAACCTATTAGAGCTAGATAGGCTTAATTTATCCTGTGTCCTTAAAATCTTTCCGGTTAGCATTTGTATACTGTACCACTTGACCAAGAATAGAGGTTTTAAAACTCACTACTATTGTTATAACCACCAGTGGTTTGACTGGGATTGAATTATTTCAGTTATGATGGTATTTTCTTCATTGTTTTTAAAGTTTGCTACGGTGGTGGTTTATGTTAGATGCATGTTTATCAAGGCATTAAAGCTAATGAAATAGTTGCTACATGTGTTTGTTCACTGTTGCTCCATGTATTCGCTTACCACACCTCATAGATGCAGAGACTTATATAGCAATATTACACAAAGTTGTTATTTCAATGCCATAGATAGACAGAAAATAGTCATTGTGGAGACAGAACAGCATAGCCATACAAGATCCTATTCTACCTCTTCACACGGCAATGATTTTACATTAATAAAAAACTTTATGTCTATTATTGCCTGCTTCCACTTGCTCAAGTTATTAGTCCCTCTTTCTTTGATTCATGTTAAAGATGGATGGCACTAGCAAAGCCTATCAATGTGAAAATGGCTGAAGGAAACTTGTTCAAAGTTAACACAACCATTCCTTATTTTTTCTGTAAAAATGTTTTTTGAAAACCCAAAGACCAGCTAGATCTATAGTCAATTAAAAAATGTCCACATTAAGATATTATAGTAAAGAATCCTCTTTAAACCAAGCGATCCCTAAGGCAGATGAAGTAGAGTTCATTTATTTTTTGAGCTCGGCACATTAAGGGAAGGTGTGGTCAGCAATTTGTCCAGCCGCATTTACTTTATGTCCCCTATACCCATCAGAGCTGGGCGGATTCAGGGACATTCCACTGACTTGGACCCGGATTTGAACTCGAGAGTTTTGGGTTGGCAGCCTTGCTCTCTACTACTCAGGCCATGCCATCTCATAATATTCAGATATTGTTCTTTCCTTATTGAAAGATTTTCAGATTTACACGTACAAGTATTTGTAAATGATTAATTAAAATCAACCTTGCCTTTATAATTTTGATAAATATTTCTATTTAACAGAGCTACGTCTCAAGAAGAACCACAATCCATTTACTGTAGTGCAAAGATGGGACGGTCTTTGTACTCTGTACACAAATGCCTCAGACAAGGAAATCCAAGAAAGTTAGTTGAACCAATACTTCTGACATTTTATTAGAAGCGAACTATTACTAAAAAAAAGCTTGTTTATAAAAGTAGGTCTTTTATAATTTATACTTAATATTCTTTGATCTCCTCAGGTGAGCCAGTATTAATGTTTCAGAGAGATGTGTTTTTTAAAAGAGAAAGAGAACATTTGGTGAGTACAATTTATTTTACCAATAGAAAAAAACACTATGAAGCTGAAAATCGCCCCAGTTGAAAAATACTTCCTTTTTTCATCCCTTTTTATCCTAACCCCCCCCCCCCCCCCGGATATTTATAATCTAGTTTGTTCTTTATTCAGGGCAAAATTACAGAAGCTCTATCACAACTAGAACCTCTTTACTGTTTACATTTTATAACACTAACCCAAAATAAATGCTCTAGAGCATGTAGGGTTAAAAAGGCTTATAAACTATTAAGAAAAAAGGCTTATAAACTATTAAGAAAAAAGGCTTATAAACTATTAAGAAAAAAGGCTTATAAACTATTAAGAAAAAAGGCTTATAAACTATTAAGAAAAAAGGCATATAAACTATTAAGAAAAAAGGCTTATAAACTATTAAGAAAAAAGGCTTATAAACTATTAAGAAAAAAGGCTTATAAACTATTAAGAAAAAAGGCTTATAAACTATTAAGAAAAAAGGCTTATAAACTATTAAGAAAAAAGGCTTATAAACTATTAAGAAAAAAGGCTTATAAACTATTAAGAAAAAAGGCTTATAAACTATTAAGAAAAAAGGCTTATAAACTATTAAGAAAAAAGGCTTATAAACTCTTAAGAAAAAAGGCTTATAAACTATTAAGAAAAAAGGCTTATAAACTATTAAGAAAAAAGGCTTATAAACTATTAAGAAAAAAGGCTTATAAACTATTAAGAAAAAAGGCTTATAAACTATTAAGAAAAAAGGCTTATAAACTATTAAGAAAAAAGGCTTATAAACTATTAAGAAAAAAGGCTTATAAACTATTAAGAAAAAAGGCTTATAAACTATTAAGAAAAAAGGCATATAAACTATTAAGAAAAAAGGCTTATAAACTATTAAGAAAAAAGGCTTATAAACTATTAAGAAAAAAGGCTTATAAACTATTAAGAAAAAAGGCTTATAAACTATTAAGAAAAAAGGCTTATAAACTATTAAGAAAAAAGGCTTATAAACTATTAAGAAAAAAGGCTTATAAACTATTAAGAAAAAAGGCTTATAAACTATTAAGAAAAAAGGCTTATAAACTATTAAGAAAAAAGGCTTATAAACTATTAAGAAAAAAGGCATATAAACTATTAAGAAAAAAGGCATATAAACTATTAAGAAAAAAGGCTTATAAACTATTAAGAAAAAAGGCATATAAACTATTAAGAAAAAAGGCTTATAAACTATTAAGAAAAAAGGCTTATAAACTATTAAGAAAAAAGGCTTATAAACTATTAAGAAAAAAGGCTTATAAACTATTAAGAAAAAAGGCTTATAAACTATTAAGAAAAAAGGCTTATAAACTATTAAGAAAAAAGGCTTATAAACTATTAAGAAAAAAGGCTTATAAACTATTAAGAAAAAAGGCTTATAAACTATTAAGAAAAAAGGCTTATAAACTATTAAGAAAAAAGGCTTATAAACTATTAAGAAAAAAGGCTTATAAACTATTAAGAAAAAAGGCTTATAAACTATTAAGAAAAAAGGCTTATAAACTATTAAGAAAAAAGGCTTATAAACTATTAAGAAAAAAGGCTTATAAACTATTAAGAAAAAAGGCTTATAAACTATTAAGAAAAAAGGCTTATAAACTATTAAGAAAAAAAATGTACAATTTTATAATTTTATAAATTTCAGATAAAAAATGAAAAGATTTTATATTACCTGTACCATGAAGCAAAATTCAATGTCTTAGAGTCACGATACATTCTACATGAAGAAGATTACCATACCTTAGCTGGCATCCAAGCAATTATTCAAATGGGAAAATACGATGATAAGACTGCCATAGCTGATTATAAGTAAATTACTTGTAGTGATATTTCTTTTCATTTAAGTTTAAAATAAACACCTTGTTAAAATTAACAGCAAAAATTTTGAATACATGTGTAATTGTCTATATAAAAATAGGCATGCTGTCATATACATTTGTAATTTTAAAAAACATTTTCTAGCTCTTTTGTGTATTCACTTTCAGGGCCAATTTAAATAAATACTACCCATTGTTTATGGCTGTGCCTAGCCGGTTTAAAATTTTTGGCCGCAACACGTCCACACCCTGCGAGCAGCAATTCATGGAGGCTCACAAAAAAGCTTCAGCCCAGTTGTCTGGAGAACCAGAATTAGCGGAACAGTACAAGAACTATCTTAAGATACTTTGGGAGTATCCATTCTATGGGTAGGGTCCCTTTAATTTTTTTCATTCGAGAGATTTTGTGTTTGGTAAGATTCTTTAAATTAAGATACTTTGGGAATATCCATTCTATGGGTAAAGTCCCTTTAATTTTTTTTCATTAGATAGATTTTGTGTTTGGTAAGATTCTTTAAGCCAATTAAGATACTTTGGGAGTATCCAATGGTTAGGGTCCCTTTAAATGTTTTCGTTAGAGAGATTTTGTGTTTGGTAAGATTCTTTAAGCCAACTATCTTTCCTTCTTTGAGAATGATATGGGTAAGATAAACTCATATACAGTCTTTTCTTTATAAAAAAATCATTCTATAAATAAGATACCTGAAGCCACAATAATTTATAAATCTAATGCTTTAATTAGCCAGCTGTATAATTTTATTCAGTTAAAAATTTTGAAAATCAATTAAAAAAAAAAGCAAGGGCATTAGTTAATAGTTATTAGATCTAGTTCTCATAAATTCTATAAGCCTGTGGTTATTTTTTTTCTGTGCTCACTCAAGGTACATTAGTGCCAAATCCTACTAAAATATGGACTTAACTTTGTAAATAAAAAAAAAACTTTTCCCTTGTCTGAATCAAAGAAATTATTAAAAAAAAAATCATAGCTAAATCTTTTTCATAGATTCCCGCAATACAGAATTATAAAAAAATGAACTAAAAATTGTGTAACACTAATTTTGACAAAATAAAAAAAAAATTCCCCATAAGTAAAGGCTCAGTGAAACATTGTTCTATTTCTCAACAGGGGGGCTTTTTTTTCTGGTGAAGTGGAAGTCAAACTGGGCAAGATTCGCAAGCTCATCTTTCCATCCCCACTCATTAAAGTGACCATTTGCATCAACACAGAAGGAATAGCAATTTTTGACAAGCTCAAAGATGTAAGTTCCTTAGCTGGTGTTTAAAAATTTAGTTGCACAGGTATATCAACAAGCTGTGAAGTTAATTGGGACGAAGACTATTTTACTATAACAAAGTACAGTTTAAAAAGTCCATAGTTATTAAAGTTAATCTTTTTTTGTGTTTGTGATCTATGAATGTATTATAAGGTATTGTCACAACTCTTAACTCACTTACTCAACTATGAATTTAAAAGCTCCTTTCTTGATGTACATGTTTAGAATACAAAAATAAGAACTGTTTATTTTAATTTAGTAAAAAAACATAGTTATAATACATCTATCAAAACACCGCTTTCTAGAGGTCTATGCTAAGTGAATATACTGAGTACCATAAAACTAGCAAATTCAGCTAATCAAATAGACTGAACAACAAGACCTACTAGCATCCCCTGATGTTCTACCTATTATCTCCCTCAAATCTGCTGTGATGCATCTGTCAACTCTGGTCTCTAAACTCTTCTTGTTGGCAGGCACTGTACTACCTTGCTATGTACCCAGCATGTGGCACAAAAACATTTCTCTGTTATTAAACTCATCAGTTACAATTTGACAGATTTTATAAATAGGAAGTGTAAGATGTAACTGTTAATTTTGTGCTGGATTAACTGCAATTTTAACTTCCAAATATGTAAATTAAAGTTTTTTGATGACATTAGTTTATTTGGACATTTAGATAAATGTAACCCTTATTTGTATCCCTAAAAATAATTTATAATCAAACATTACACAGCATTGCTTGAATTTTTTTTTGAGATTAGGAATCTAATAAAAATAAATCACTTTTGAGATTAGGAATCTAATAAAAATAAATTACTTTTGAGATTAGGAATCTAATAAAAATAAATCAACAAAAATGGTATGCAGTAATGAAATTTAAAATACACGCTGAATTGACTTCATTAAACAAAAAGATAAACATGTTTAAAATATAAAAGGATTGCATATACGAACTTGATTTTATGTTTCAGCTTTATATGAAAGAAGTCCATTAATGTCTAAATTTGTTTTGCAGGAGTTTCTGCTGTACATGCCATTTAGTAAACTGTCCTGGACCTATGTAGACAAAGCATGGGATGGGGACAATGATCCGGAACCCATGCTGATCATACAGTTCCCATCTGATCAGAGGACAGTGGCTGGAGATAAAACTGTCACCAAATTACTGCAGATCATGTCAGGAGAGGTGGGTCCTATGCTATGTTCCCTATAAGGGGAAAAAGATCGTGTGCAGCGTGTTTTTTGTGTGCGCGCTGTTCTAAAAGTCTTATACAAGGATATATGTTTTGTACAAAATGACTTATGGGACGGAGTGGTCTAGCGGTAGAGAGCTGGACTACTAACCCGTAAGTCTCGAGTTCGAAACAGGGTTCAAATCAGCAGACCGTCCCTGAGTCCACCCAACTCTGATGGGTACCTAACTCATGTTAGGGAAAGTAAAGGCGGCTGGGCATAGTGCTGACCACACTATCTCTTCATATGCCGAGGTCACAGAAACAAGTGAACTCTACTTCACTTGCCCCATAGACCGTCAGGTTTGAAAGGGAAACTTTACTTTTTTTTTTACAAAATGACTGAGCGGCAGTTAAAAACTACTGTGGGGTCGCGCAACCGTGCAGCTTAGCTGGAACATAGGTCCTATGAGGTTTTTTTGTTCTGCCCACTCAATTACTCATCATAACTCCAGAAAAATAAATCATCAGAAACTGTGTGTTAAGGGAATAGCAAAATACTATATTGGTAGAATATAGTAAACTATAGTAATGATCATAAAAGAAAAATATTTTGATGATACCAAAGTATTTTCCCAGATGAAAAACTATAATATAATTTAAGGCTACTCATATTTTACTTACTTCCTTTCAACTTAGCAAACATTGTATTGGTAGAATATAGTAAACTATAGTAATGATCATAAAAGCAAAATATTTTGATGATACCAAAGTATTTTCCCAGATGAAAAACTATAATATAATTTAAGGCTACTCATATTTTACTTACTTCTTTTCAACTTAGCAAACATTGTATTGGTAGAATATAGTAAAGCTATAGTAATGATCTTAAAAGCATTTTGTTGATACTAAAGTATTTTCCCAGATGAAAAACTATAATATAATTTAAGGGTTACTCATATTTTACTTACTTCTTTTCAACTTAACAAACATTGTATTATAGAATATAGTTAACTCTTTAAGCCCGTAATTATTTTCACGTTTTACCGGAATTATTTTTTTTCCCTTATTTTTTTTCAGTACCCGTGCGGCTAAATGACCCATATCTTTTTACCCGTTAATTTAAACCCCACACATGATTGATATAAATTAATCGTAATTGAATACCCTACACACTGATATACATTTTAAGGAATTATTTATTTACTGAAGAAAGATAATTACTTAGTTTTAAAGAAGAAAAAATAAAGAGTTGTTTTTTTCGTGCAAAAATTACGCTTCTGTCAGGAAAATTAATAATAAGAATAACTTTTCATGAGTTCTTATTTATAGAAAACGAAAGTGTTGTAACTGGGTTCTATATGTGTACCACAGCTATGCAGTGAGAGGGTAGAACTACCTGATCCAATATTATATTTCAATACCACTACCATTTCATTATGTCTAGCCATGCAACAGTGCATCTTGAGACACGACGACATCAACGCTTACAAATGATTTGACAGAATGACATTGGTCACTAATTCCATTTATTGCACTATAGAAATAGACATCAGACAGCTTGAACAAACGATACTAAGACTGGACAACCTAACCCTAACATAACACGAACAAGACTAACTCCAACTTCTTCCCCGGCAACAACGAACTCACACTAAAACGTCACTTTCTTGCGTACCGCGTCACACTTTCACTTGTTCAATATTATCGCTTCGCACCAGCATTCATGCGCACCAATTTATCTAGTCAAACATACATCATAACAGAAAGTAGGTCCATTTATCCTACAAAAATCATGGATCGGATTAGTCTTAGTATAAATACTTTAATTTTCGTTAATTTTATAATGCGGCGACGTAAACGTTTAGACGCGGCCGCTGAACGGCATTTCGCAGTGTTAAAAAATGCAGTTTTTCGAGTTGGTTTCCAAAAAAAAATTCTATAAAATACAAAATCGATCTAATGAGAAAACTACAAGAAGTAAATACAACGAAAAATGGCCGCTCCATCGTTATCATGACCTAGATTTACGATTAAAAACTTGGATTCCGAAAAACAACGAATTAAATAGAGAAAATTTTATCGGACGCTGGGAGCGTCGTTACGGTATGGCAGGCCGACCGCTGGGAGCTTCGTTACGGTCCTAAAGAGTTGAGCTATGGTAATGATAATAAAAGCAATTATTTTAATAATATCAAAATATTTTCTAAGATGAAAAAAAATTATAATAAACTCTCTTATTTTAATTTTTTTTTTCAGCTTAGCATTTTCCCTCTATTTGCTTCAAAGTCCTCTGTCAATGTATGAATTCCTACTTTAAGTCATCAGGGTTGGGCATGTTTAGGGGTAGATAAATGATCTTTGACCTCTGAGTTTGAAGTGATTGTATGGTCAACACCAATCTATTTTCCCTCTTAGTCATCTGCACCCACCAGAGCAAACTTTCTCTTACACCTGCATTTTTTAAATAGTTTTTTCTTTCCCCAGGCCAAACTGATGGATGCTCTCATAGAAACGTTGGTTGCCAAAATTCTTGAGGACAAGAGAAGAATTTCAAGTGATATTGATGTTGTAGATGCATACAAGGGTATTACATGTTTTTATTTTTATCAGAGTCTAGTCTCATTCTCCTTTGGCAACTCCACCTGCTCCATTGTATAATGTTAGATGACCACCTCCCACTGTTCTTAATTTATAGTTTATACATATATGTTATATATATATATATATATATATATATATATATATATATATATATATATATATATATATATATATATATATATATAGATATAGATATATATAGATAGATATATATAGATATATACATATAGATATATATATATATATAGATATATATATATATAGATCTATATATATAGATATATATATGTAGATATATATATATATATATATATATATAATCTACATTAATACTAGAATAAAATAGAATAAAATCTCGTAGAAAAAAGAATTGCACACCAGGTGAACGCCAAATGAAATGTGCATAATAGTGCACAATATTATTAGTACTTTATAAATTTACATGTGTTTTTTGAGAAATCGGAAATAGTGTAAATTAGTACTTCCGGTCAACGGAAATTACTCAAACTTTGACAGAAGGTAGAGCATTTGATCTTTTACTTACATGTGAAATTTCATTTATCTATCTGAAATAGTACTCAAGTTATAGGCTTTTGAAAAAATTCAAAGTAGAAAAAGTACCACTTCTGGTTATCGGAAATCGCTCAAAAGTTGATACGGATCTACGATTTTGATAAAATACTTATATATGAAATTTCATCAACCTAGCTGTACTGGTACTCAAGTTATCGTGTTTACACACACACACAGACACACACACAGACAAGATTGCAAAATTATGTTTTTCTGTATCAGTGAGGTGTAAAACGTCGAGATGAGATTTTTTTTTTTCACGATTACAAGACTTTCTCTATACTTGGTATATACGAGAAAGTAAAAAGTCACTTTTATTTAAGCCTTGTGCTTTGAATACCCCACTTTAGGGCATGTGCCTGCGACTATAAGTAGCGATATTGACCTGAATCCGACCCAACAAGAAAAACACCCTCAGAAGCCAGCAACTAAGACCCCAGGTAGGGAGAACAGTTAGGGAAACAAATATTTTACATAGAATCCAAACACTTTAGACATGATAGAAAGATATGTTTTGTTTACTTTCCTTTGGGGAGTGGGTTGCCATTTGGAGGATGAGAATAACAAAGAATTCCCCCAATAATGTGTGAGTTTGGGGAAGTGATACATGTTTTTTTCACTACAGTTTCAGATGTGAGCTACAAGCAGTTGTTTAACAAGCTGGACAGATTAGTCTTGGAGACATACACAACAGATGGGGGTAATCCATTTTCTTTACGTTTGCAGTTCATTTGCTCCTGTCCTTGACAGCTGTCAACTCTGTTTTCTGTCCATTCTGTTTTCTGTCCATTCTATTTTCTATCCATTCTATTTTCTATCCATTCTGTTTTCTGCCCATACTGTTTTCTGTCCATTCTATTTTCTATCCATTCTATTTTCTATCCATTCTGTTTTCTGTCCATACTATTTTCTGTCCATACTGTTTTCTGTCCATACTGTTTTCTGTCCACACTGTTTTCTGTCCATACTGTTTTATGTAATTCTGTTTTCTGCTCATTCTGTTTTCTTTTTTCATTCTGTACGCTGTCCATTCTCTGATATGCCTAAGCAACCAAACTGTCTTAGTAAAAAAATAACCTTTCAAGCAATAGACCATTAAAACAGGATCTCTTTCAGTAAGGTTTTGAAATATTTGTATAATATTTTTAAAGTTTCAAAATAAATGTATAAAATGATAATTGTTATTGCATAAATTTTTAAATGACATGAAGAATTCTCAAAAAAAATACTCTCAAAATTGTAGTTGTGTTGATAAACAGATTACACTAAAATTATTATTATATAATTGCGCTGAAATATCAGTATTAATATTATGTTGATGGAATAGCCTCATAGTTGACCAAAAAATATAGTACAAAGAAATTGTAATGATCCATTTAATTTGAGGTGTTTTTTTCTTCATGGAATTTGTCCAGTTGTTTATATGTTGAATTACTTCCCTTTGAGATATCATTTTTATTAAATCCTTTCTCTTTTCCTTTTATAGAAGAGGTTGAGTAAGAAAGCAACACAAGTTTTGCTGTTGAAAGTGGCAGGAAGTTTAGCAGGGGAGGGAAATTTAAAACTTGACAGTATACATGCATAATACTTTTTTTTTCATGATGTGAACTTTCATATCAGATAATAGTTATACAGTTAATTGAACTAAAAATTAATTTTATAAAATAGATTTGAAAAAAGAAATGTTTTGATTTATTCCCTTATCTAAAATCATGCTTTTTTCTTTCAAATTAGATGATGTATTTTATTTTAATGTTTTGTTATGGAAAGTAGTTTGTTTTGCTTCTCTTGTCTCCCTCGCTTCTCTTGTCCAACTGCCCAGATGTAGCCTCAATGGGCCTACTTTTGTTAAGGGAATCCACCCCACTTATTTAAAAGGAAGACTTCTTTTTTTTTTTTTTTGCAATAATTTGTATCGAGGGGGAAAAATATTAAAAATAATTTTGTTATTTTTGGTTCATAAAATGAATAAAAAAAAGATTCTTTAAAGAGTCTTTTTTCTAAAACTCCATTTTATATTTTATTGTTTTTCTTGATATGATGCATTTTTCTGTTAATATTTTGTTGTTGACGTTTTTTCTGTTGACATAATTATTTCTGTTTGCATTTTGACTGAGTTTCATTTTTTTTTAAATTCATTGTTTCTTCATTATCCAACACCTTTTAATCAACATGAAAAGTGGTATCATTGACTATTAACTAGAACAGCTGACTAACATGGAAACTGTCAAATCTACGAGTTAAATTAAATAATGCAGGTTACGGTTTACATATCTCTTACAAAACATACACAATGTCGTATTAGAAACTTTATTTACCCTCAAATACTTGTTGACCCTAATAGGTTTAGTTTCTTTGCTGCTACACCCTATTAAAATTGCTATTCACAAGGTTAAATATAGTTATTAGTGATCATATCTATTTGATTATTCTTAATTCAAAGCATCATTGCTCGTCTATTAAACTTGTAAATTTTAAAATATTTATTTGATGACTTTTCATTACATTTTAGTAAATTTTTATCGTTGTTAAGAAAAAAAAAATTATAAATTTTTATTATTTTTATTAAACCTTGAAAAATTTAGAAATTTGTTGAAAATTTGTAAATGCAGAGAATTAATTTATAAAGTAAAGGAAGCTATAGAAATATTTTATTTTTATTTTAGATTTTGTTAGACATTGATTTTGTTTATAAAAAAAAAAACTCAACAATATTCAGATATAGACTGAAACAAGAACTGACTCATAGACATTCCACTACATTTTACTTTATTCAATATATTATAACAAAACTTATTTTAATAATTTTGGTTTTTAAATTTTTGTTGAAAGACAATTCATTTGAGATGTTGACATGAGAAATTGCTTAAACTATTATTAGTAGTAGTGTTTGAAAAAGAATGTTTATAAATATTATATTTTAGATGAGATTTTAATTGTACCATATCTTGATATTTTTTAATTCTACTTTAATTAGAAGCTTAGTTTTTTTTTAAAAATTGCCAAAGTAGCACTGCCATTCTATTATGTTTAACTACGCATCTTTTGAAGCAAAAAAAAATTATTTAAGGAAGAAAATCATGTTTTCTTTTTTGCAATATTTCTATATTCAATTAGATTGTATATTGTATAACTTTTCTGCCCTCTCACTTGTGACTTACTCTATTTATTATTCATCAGTCAATGTAAATACATATCAATACTTTTTTTTAAATGATAGTAATTGTAAATAGTTAAAGAGCTGGTAAAAAGCAAGAATTATCACAATATTTAAAAAATATTTATTTGTGAACTGTGATTAAAGATTTCACAAATGTCTGTATACATTTCAAAAAGAATTTTAATCAATAAAAGATTTTGTTTTCTTTTATTTTAAAGAGAAAAAAGATTTTTTTTTAAATTTATGAGACATTTTTTTAAAACTTTTTTTATGGAGCAAATGTTAATAGTATTGATTTTTAGTTTGATAAATATTTACATCTATTTAAAAATGGCTGAATCAGATTTTGTTTTATTGTTGAATTCCTTATTAACTTTTTAGTTAACATACTCTATTAAGATTCTAAAATTTAATAATAATATATGCTAAAATTAAAATGACATCAACTTAATGATCTCAGAAAAACATACACTTCAGTGTGTAATATTTTTTTTTTATCTAACTTCAACATTTTATAGATTTTAGATAACTGTTATATTTTATTCAATAATAACTTCATTCTTAAACTTAATTTAGCTTTAGGCTGTAGAATGTAAATAATAGAGGTAGTGTGGTTTGCTTTAAGATAGCTGTTTATAGCAGCTTTTAAACACATTTTTAATAAAACCTTTAAATTAAAAAAAAAGTGTTGTCTCAAGGCATAGATTTAGTATAATTAATAGAATTAGTATTAATAGCTTTAAGACTTCCCATTTATTCATAGCTGCTTTAATGAACATCCAAATAAAAAATGTTGAAAAACTTGCAATAGAAAAAAAATATTCTTAGTGTAATTATTAGCATGCATTGTACATAATGTATATTTTAAAATGTAGCTTTTATTTTAAACACTTTGCAGCAGTTTTTTTTTTAAAGAAAGAGACCACTACTTGTTGTAAAGGCCATCACATTTAAAAAAAACCCATTGAAACTGTAACTATATTTTCCACTTTTGCTTTGTATTAGTTGTGCCATGTGTTATTTCTGTTTGCATTAAACTTTAAAGTGACACTAAAATAATGTTTGTTCAGTTTTGTCTAATATTTATTTTCGTCTAACTACTTGTTTGATCTGATATTTTGTGTTTTTCTGAGTTTTGGTTATGTTTGTCTAATCTTTGGTTATCTAATCACTAGCTATGTCTGATCTCGCTTGTGTTAGACATTTCAATATTCATCCTTTATGAAGCAGTTGAAGAATAAAATCGTCTACCTATTAAACCCTTGGCTTGCTTGACCTCAAGGGTTAATTAGGACTGGGTACAGATCCATTGTTTTAGTTTCAAAGCAGTGCAGTAGTTATTTACTTATTGCCCATTGCCATTACTCTATTTTATTAATATTTCTGTAAATAAACTTTACCTGCTATGTTGACTCTAAACCACCTCTAATTCTTTACTCTCTTTATATTTCTCTAAATCAACCCCATCTCTACTTTCTTTATATTTCTCTAAATCTAAATCAACTTTATATTTTTCTCTAAATCAACTCCACCTCTACTTTCTTTATATTTCTTTATATCAACTACAACTCTGTTTTCTTTATATTTCTCTAAATCAACCCCGTCTATACTTTCTTTATATCTCTCTAAATCAACTTCAACTCTTCTCTATATCTCTCTAAATCAACTTCTTCAACTCTACTTTCTTTATATTTTTCTAAATTAACTGCAACTCTACCGTAATGGCTAAATGTAAGATCAGAGAACCTGCTACAGAGCACCAACTTTAACCTTAACTTGAACACATGACACGTATGTGAGTCCACCTTTCCTGCAGATCTCAACTGATTTATTCCGCTGATGTCAGCTGGTTTCTGTCTGCTTATTGGGAGCTCACCTGAAAATTTTATAACTTTTGCCCCAGAACATGCTGGTCAACAAACCCTTGGCATTATTCCGTTGCGCTGAATCTTAAAACAAAATTTTCCCAGCTTGAAGTTAATGGGCTTTTTCAACATTTACAAAAAAAATTTATTGTCTAGTTGACACATGATATATGACTTACACAATTTTTTAAGTCATTCATGTTTTTAAACTGTTTCCCCACAGTCAAGACAAATGAGAGATAATTTACTTGCACATATGACAAGATTTACATAAGCCGTTAGCCAGATTTTTAAAAAGTTTTAATACAAATATTAATGTTTTGCAGTCTAAAATGCTATTCCATTTTTATTCCTGCCTAGTCATTATAAATTTTATCTCTCTAAGTCATTAAAGCTCTTTTATTTTTATAAATAAAAGTGCCATCAATAGTCACTTAACATGTAATTAAAGGCAAAAATATATTCCCTTCTACATTACAATTATGAACAAAGATGTCTTAATTTAATAACTTAATATGCAAAAACTATTGATATAGCTAACTCGTTTCATTTTACAACAACCAAATGATGTTAATAAAGAGGCGCCTAGCAAAATCTTTGGCCTCCTGTAAAAATCCAGGCATAGCCCCACTCCCACTTTAGTACATTGGTAAAATAAATAAAAAAATATTTAAGAAACATCTGACTTGGCTAAAAGTAAAATTGGAAATTTATATTGCAATCATTGAATAGACTACACTAAATCCACATTGTTTGATGTTGCATGTTATCAATTGGGGGTGGGGTTAGATGATAGAGAATTCAAATGATCTAATAGATGTGCTTGGATTGTAGAATCAAGCTGATGAAAGTAACAGGATACCAATCAAATGCTAGGCTAACCCACCTGATGTTTTCATCACTGGAAGTATGTAGCAGACTTTGAATCTCCTCCCCATCTTTCATCGATGTTCCCTGTAAGCTGCACTCTCTCACACAGTAGCTGTAAACCTACCCTGCAGTTTATTTCTCCAGCTCTGATGGGTACCTGACTCAAGTTAGGGAGAGTAAAGGCGGCATGGTGCTGACCACGATATCCCTTCGTATGCTCAAGTCACAGAGACAAGTGAACCCTACGTCACCAGCCACATGGACTGTGAGGTTTGAAAAGGGAACTACTTTTACAGTCAATTTTTTTTTTAATTTAAAAATTATATTATAATATAGACTTGTATAAGTAATTTGACAGCATGGCATTTTAAAAAAATTCTGCACATACACTTTAGCTCTTTGTAGTAATGACCCCCCCCCCCCTCCCACCAGACAGAAACAAGTCAACCGAACATATAGTTAGCATGTAATTGTAGCCTTCACCCACCTATGAGATCTGGAGTTCACAAAACTGGGTCATATAAAGAGGGCAGTGTAAGAAACTGAATTAACTCAGAGCCTATTTACCTTAATAATGGGTGTGGGTGCTCCATGTTAACCATACCATTTTAATGTTCTGTGGCAGGGGGGGAGGGGGGGCTGATGTAATCCCATACACGATGTGGGTTCAACTGTAAAGATGTGACACTACTGCGGCACAAAAATGTAGAACTTGTGTCAGGGCCAACTATAAAATGCAGCATATGCCCTGACAAGATTTATGTTTTACAAAAGCAAAGAGGGGAAAATGTGTTTACGTAACATTTCTGTTCTTTTGAGGTACAATAAGGCATGCTTTTTAAAATATTTTAGTTAAAATTTATGTTTTTTAACTTTTATCAAAAGAAAATTTTTAAAAATATTTATGTCGAGAACGAAATTTAACTACTTTTGTGCGTATAATAATTAATATTAGGACATTTGATTAATTTGTTGAACTACATAGAGCAGGCATATTGCTTTAAGGAAAGCCTTCTATTTGCTTGTGTTAAAAAATGCAATGTACACAAAACTATGCTTTGAACAGTATTTTGTTTCAGTGTATTACTAGGTCTGTAAGAAACTGTTTCTTTTTATTTTGATGTTAACTTAATGAAACATTTTATCATCTCTTTTTTAAGCCAAAATTTCTTTGTATTTGTTAACTTGTGTATAACCAGAATATTGTAATCAGATTACTAGTATCGCCTTATTCTTTGTTAAATAAAGAAGCATCTAATTCGGCTTCTCTACCAAACAGTTGACTTTGATAGATTCTGTCCACGTATGAAATTTAGTAGATTTCTTGATTAAAAAAAAACTTTTTAACATTCTGAATATAACTGCAACGATCATCTGACTAACCCTTAATATGCCTAGGTTACAGAAACTGATGAACTCCACTTCACCTGCCCAATGAGCAGACAGTTCCAAAACTTACTTGCTCTTATCTGATTGTTTCACATTCAACAACCCACTAGTGCCCCTAAATTTTTGTTCACTTAAAAAATTCCTTGAGTTTTAAATTTAGGTTCAAATAGAGATAATCCCTGTATCCA